CAGCAGAACTGGGTCCCCAAACCAGGACATAAGGTAGTTTGAGTGATGCATCACATTTCTCAGAGTTACATATAGAAACAGAAGTTTTAAATGTCATTTAATGCAGTTGCCATTGAATTGGGGAATTTTTTCCTTTCATGAAATTCTTTCCACTAGACAGGGAGAGTCAAGTCTCAGAAAATACTTTGTAAAGAGACTTTACTCAGTGAACAAGAAGAATCGTTTTGAGAAAGTTACAACCTGGTTTTGGATCTTGGCATTACTCTGCACACATGCAGATTTCGTTTAGTGCCGCTGGCAGTAAAGGTACAAATATCAGTGGTGCTGAGGCAAAACACAGGTCTGGCTCCAAAGGGAGCACGAGATAGTCCATTCTGAACTAAATAAACATGAGTGGCCATGACACAGGAAAGCAAATTCAGGTTACCCTTATAATGACATGGTCCGCTATGAAAGAGGTCACATGAATGTTAATTGTCAAAGAGCGAAAGAAAGCCACAAATAAATACACTTCTCAAACACATTGGTGGGGACATCAGGTAGCTGAGTTTCCCACAACAGAGTGGGAAAATCCCATCTATGTGTTTCAGAGATGTTACCCTATAGCTTCAAAGTTGGTAGTAGCTACTGGTCAGCTAATTTGAACCACACACTCCAAAATGTTACCTATTAGTCACAAAATATTAGTTCGGACACAGAGGCTGAGAGGACTAACAATCAGCCTGAATAACTTGGCTCTTGATCTGTAATATTTCTTCTGCCCCAGATCATGCTTCTGTAGTCAGTCAACCAATCTTTGTAATTGTCAGCTCAGGTGTGGGTTTTTCAGAGAACTACACTGCATTGTTGATTGTTACCCACTTATGGCAAAAGAGCAGTAGACTCTCGAAAGCCCAAGAAGTTCTCAATTGCCAGACACAGAAATTCACACAGGCAGGGGAAGAGCTGCTTTATAACACTCCTCTCATGAACCACACAAGCTATTATCCAAGTTTTTAAAAAAATTCTGTGGTAAGATGCAACATGACAAATGACCATCCATCATCTCTATCATGAAGTCACATGGGAAAGTCCTTGGGAGATCATGTCATTTCCATAGCCATTCACAGATTGCTTAAAATATGTTCTGTAGTCTCAGAGACTCCAGGTTTTCTTCCTTACAACTCAGCCTATATACTGTTGTTCAGTTCATCTTAGCTGCATGACCTTGAGCAAGTCATCTGACCTCTCCTAGCGTCCGTTCCCCCCAATGCTAAGCAACGGGGCTGTATAAAGTTAACTTCATAGCCCTCCCTCACAGATGCCTGGGCCACCACTACACGGGGTGGGGAAAGGCACTGAGTGGGCAAGCCCCTGCCTGGCCTCTTCAAACCCGTCTGTAGACCCCTCTAAAATTTGACTAGGAAAAGGCTTATTCTACTACAATGTTTAAGCACCATTATGTTTTCTTGAATTTTAAGGGTCTTGGTACTTTTCCTAAATGAACACTATGTAGTAACTCCCTCATCTCAACAGGAATTTAATATGATAAAGTGTTTTGTGCAGAGTAACACAACAAACAACTCATTTTTATTACTTTTTTTCTGACTTCTAAAACGTTGATATCATCATGAAATACAATGCTTAAAATGACAGAAATAATATATAATAGGCACTCTGAAAGCAGTTAGTGACATCTACAAAGGAAATGGCTTATAAAGGTCAGAACCAAATTAAAATTCTGTGTATTTTTCCCCCCTTAGGAAACAACAAAAGTGTGTCTTAATCCAAACAAATGCAGAGAAACAGTTTCTCTTTAGTGTCACAATTACTAAGCTTCCAAGTCTCCTCCACAAATATTATCTATTATGTCTGTATTTCTGGCAAAGGTTAACCCTGAAAGATCAGTTTACTAAGGTGACTGGAAGTATCAGAAAATCAAATGGGGAATTCTCAAGTGCTTCACTCTGCCTTGGGTTGTAAAACAGGGGCTGCCAGAGAGAGGTTGCTAGTATCGTTGGACTGGACAACCTTTTCAACCTCTACTTAGGCCCTGAGGCCCTCTCACGCTTGCAAAGTGCTGTTGTCTATTTGTTGATATCACATGAAAGGCTTTCCCTATCTTTATTCGTGTGTGTGTGTGTGTGTGTGTGTGTGTGTGTGTGTGTGTGTGTGTGTGTGTGTGTGTGTGTGTGTGTGGTGTGTGGTGTGTCAGGTGTGTGTCAGGTGTGTGCAGGTGCACGTAAAATCGGGAAGAGAGCATTAGATAATCTGGACCTGGAGTTACAGGAGGTTGTTAGCTACCTAACATGGGTACTCGGAGCTGAACGCAAGTCCCCTGAAAGAGCAGGAACGGAACCATTTCTCCAGCTTCCTAAATTGTACCCAACTGAAGGTTGATGATTAGAAACATCTGAGCTCAGAAGACACTAGCTTTGTCACAAAGGACTTGGTCAAGTCACCTATTTCCCATGTAGATTGTTTTCCTGATTTTTGAGGCTCCCTTCTAGCTTTCAAATTCTCTGTAATTCTTATCTAAGAAGCCTTCTGAAGGGCTAGTGGGATGGCTCCATGGATAAAGGTGCTTTCCCCCAAGCCTGCTGACCTGAGTTTAATCCCCAAGACCCTCATGGTGGAAAGAGGGAAATAACTCCCCCAAATTGTCCTGACCTACACACACACACACACACACACACACACACACACACACACACACACAC